CGCCGTACATTATAGGGAGTGCAGGCTGCATGAAGTAATGGAAATATATAGAGCTGTATGGTGAATAAAACAGCAGCCACCTAGTGTTAGCAATAAGCATATTGATTAACACACAACTGTCAAACATTGCTAGAACTATGAGGAAGATACTAGTGGAGCTTTTCATCTCTGGACTTGACAGAACCATCATTGTTACGGTATTTCCCCCAATTCCGACAAAAGAGAAAATGTTGCAGACTACCCCTCCAAGGTAATGCCAGTAGAGGTATACACGATCCATGTAATTATCTGCGAGATCAGCTACGGCAGTAGGAGGCGCTTCGTTGGAGTTATTTCCCTTTGAGTGGAGATGATGAGATCCTTGAGTGCTCATCACTCCAGTCGCCGAATCATTCCCAGAGATGATACTGGTTGAATTGGGCGACATTACGTCACCTTCTTGAGCCTGGAAAACGTAAACAAATCTATTTTACGCATACTTTAATCATATTGTAGAAGTGAACACATTTCCCCGTCATATACAGTTTTTAGACCTGGCTTTGTGTAATGTTGAATAGTGTCGTGTTCTCCTTTACCACCAATACATCGTCACGAATACTGCCTGACGGGTACAAACACAATTCTACCGGGATATTACAGTATGCTCGAATCTGATTAATCTCTTCATGAACATGTTGTGGAGCACAATGGGTTAATACTGTTACATCGAATTACTGCAATTCTTGGTAAGGCACTTATGGATAATCACATGCAATGAACACATTCTGGACACGTATATTTTCAATCAGTCAGTGATGCAAATGCTTAATATATGTTATTTAAAGTACTATTAATCACAATGATTCTTAAGCAGTACATCAAAATATGAATTTGATCTAAAGTCAATTTAAGCCGAAAACATATTTATGAAAGACATCTAAATACAATGTTTGAAACATTTACCTACTACGTTGGGTGGTATTTAGAAGTTGGTGTGATGAATGAGTGAGAAAGTTCTGTTTATGCTGTTAATGTAAGGTAATCTCAATCACGTTATTTTCATTGTCCGTTACATTACTGGCTTCCTGTTTTATATATCTCTTGTTAATTCTGCATTGGTAAACATCAATCCTTATTGTGTAAACATCCATCACACTTTGTACAAGGAACATTATCAGGTTAAACATTAACTGTGTAAACATAACTTTACTTGCTTGATTGATAGAGGTGTTAGCATCTACACCTAAACGTCACATGTATATTGCTTTACCAGTTTTCGATTACTGCGAGTACATCTGGAACAATGTACTACTAAGAATTTCTATCAGAATAAATACAATTAGATGCTTTAAGAACCGTATGTGAATCTGTTAGAGGAGTGTCATAGTAAAATTTATAATGAAACGGGCTATATTTCACTAAGGCAAAATCACAAAATGGGTGTATTTCACAAAATTATCTGTGAATAAACGCCCGAATACTTTAAGTTTAGTTAATCAAATTTAGTTTTTTAACATTTCTGCCACTTTCCATGTATGTAAAAACGTACCCCAACGTACTCCAAGTACCGTTATTGTGGCACAGAGACATAATCTATTATTGAAAATCATTTTTGTTATCATCAGTGCACGACTGGAATATGTTGGAAGACATTTCTTAGATACATTGAATCTTTAATACAGTTTCAAAAATATGCGAAAAATTTATCATTAGCAACGTGATGTTCTACTGCTGGAAAAAGAAATAGATCCTACACCATAGAATGAAACTCAATTGCAGTAACCCTGTCACCACAAATAAATGTTAGACCAATAGAATCTGTTCATGCTTATTTTACCCCGACAAAACGCTTTGATAGTCCTTAAAGTATGCTATCTAGACAGGTTTTGAACAAATTTAATATCTAACCTGTTATCACCCATTGTGATGTGTTGTGATTATATATGTATTCTTGTATCGGAGAGATATTCAAATGGGCATAATAGTCTGCTGACCAAGCCATTATGAAGGAAATATACTCTTATGTAAACCACACGGGTTAACAAATGATCAGGCTTCTTGTGAACATCTTTCAGTCAAACAAAGAATCTGGATGTACATGAATCCCATTGGAAAGGAAATGTAACATAGACAATGAAACAGTCCGTGTTGTTCTTGCTCCAAACAGTTACTGACACCTTGCCGCAGAACGGTCTGCTGCGTACATGCAGTGTGTTTCAGTGTGCTCATCGTTAATTACACACACGTGCGGCGAGATCCACTTGAGAACAGCCTGAGACTCCACAATCTTCCCATGGGAAGACATGAATGACGTACATGTACAATATGTATCATCTGTAATGACGTGTCAAAAACTTCCAACAAGAGAACATGCTGAACATGAAATCTCCTGAAAACATCATTTGCATAAAACAATATCACTCTGTGGTATTTTAATTGATTGTGAATAAGTTAGGTTTGAAAACGCCAAGAACTATTTGCCTCGATCAAATCTCCCTCTCTTGTAAAATGTCAACAGTAAAGTATCCTCCGTTCAGATAAATGATGTAAATATATTTGCTCGGTGAGATCTACTGAACCGCATAAAAAACGCAAGTTTTTCAAAATTAAGAAATATTCTACAGAACATTGTTAAATATTAAAGTGTAACTACACATTGGTTACCGTTGTTGTAAAAAAACAGTTTGTTAATGTTCAGGTTCTGTTTGGTGATTTCTCTTGGATATTGCACATCGCCAAAACACAGCAATTGAATTGGCCGTGGGATGTGGTTGCAGAAGTTTGTCATGAAAATCATGATGCGCATTATGTCACGGACACATCGGGGTATGAAAATGCCCTCAATTCAGTTTGAAATCACTCCCAACATACGCCCACCAAGAATGCCAAGGTTAACGACGCAACAGAGGGAACAAGCCATCGGCCGTCTTGAAGCTGGACAGAGTGTCGCAGCTGTTGCCAATGCATTCGATGTGCACATAACGACCATCTACCGTCTTCATAAACGTTTTGCTGCTACACAGACCACTGCTGACCGCCAACGTCCTGGACGTCCGAGAGTCACAACACCACGGCAAGATCGACACATTCAACGTTCGCACATCAAGGATCGATTCTTATCTGCCAACGAGACTGCCCGACAGACTATTGGACGTCACAACCGAGCAATAAGCGTCGTCCAGATCGACGTGCTATCCTCACACCGAGACATCGTCAGAATCGTCTGCAGTGGGCTACGTTGCATCGAAACTGGCGTCAACAACAGTGGAGATTGGTATTGTTCTCTGATGAAAGTCGGTTTTGCATTTCTCATGCTGACGGCCGAGTTCGAATATGGCGAAGACGAGGTGAACGCTTTGCTGACGAATGTGTAATGGAAGTTGATTTATGGGGAGGTCTGAACGTTCTGGTATGGGCAGCGACGGCCTGAGTCAGAGATTAGGGCCAGTATTCTTCCAGAATATTGGGCCAGGTCGGGGAAATGGAGTCACTGCCCAACGTTATATCGACCAGATCCTCCGACCACAGGTTGTGCCATTTTTCGTCCGACACCAGCAACACATTTTCCAGCAAGATAATGCCAGGCCCCACACTGCTAGAGTCACTCAGGCATTTTTCCAGCAGCACAACATTCGACTACTGCCATGGCCTGCTGTCAGTCCCGATTTAAACCCGATCGAACATTTTTGGGACGAGCTGCAGAGAAGTCCGACCACGTCCGGCAACTGCAGCAGAACTCCAGGCAGTCATCATCCGGACATGTGCGGCAATCACTAGGGCCTTTGTCAACCGTCTGATTCACTCCATGTTCAGGTGGTGCACAGCTGTAGTGAATGCACGAGGTGGACATACGCGCTACTGACTTGTTGGATCAATTTCGATTTTGTCTTCAATGCAAAGTAAACCAACAATGTTTCCACGCATTGACTGACATGTCCCAGTCATCATGCAATAAGTGTTGATTGTTATTATGTACCTGTGTTCATGCATTATCTGTCAAAAGTAAACTTTTTCTAAATCTGGATTTTGACTTGCGTTCTTTTGCGGTTCAGTATATTATATCATCCGTTTTGACACGAAAGGTTAACAACAAATAACAACCAAATACACAGAAGTATTTGAACAGAGGGATAGCTTAGTGGCCTGCCTGCACATTTAGGTTATAATTTGTTCCGTGTACTCACCTTAATGAGGGAAATAAGAAGCAGAAGGAGAAACCACACAGCCTTCATGTTCACTGTATCTGAAACAGTCACACACTGCATTAACGTTGTCATTTCTATGTCTTGCGCCAACTCATGTTTCAAGAATCAACCTGTTTGTTTTCATTCACCCGGAACTACATATGTTTCTTTGAATACCCACCTCGTGCTTATTTACAAGAAATTGTTGTATTCGTACAGGAGGAATGGGACACCTCAGAGTATTAAATACTCACGTGTGACTGGTGTTATCACAGTTGACAAGGTCGGTAAACCACACACCTGCAGAAAGTTGCTACCTAGTGAGATCACATAGTCCATAACAATATAAAGTGCATTATTCCCACCCACCTGATGATTATATACACCTTTGTATTTGATGAATTCTGTTAAATTTTAATCACACATGTTAATTATATGAAAACTTAAGAACATTAACAATGAATTTCTGTCCCGGCCGTATCCCCATTGCTATAGATACCACATAAACATTTAGCTTTCATTTATTGGCATTAATGTTCACATGAATTATTCAACGAGGTGTAATGCACTACCACATGAAGGTAAATTACATGCAATTATCGTATAGTATTTTAGAACCGATTACAAGAATCACGCCACTGTTCACTGCGTCAAAATACAGCATTGAGCACTTGGCCACCTTTGTCAACTGGTGTTCGTGTCGAGCTGTCAAGTCAGTCAAATAACACTGCCGGCGGATGATTGTGCTCACTCGGTTTTCTCACTCGGTCACTGATTGTCGTGTATTTCCTGTACATGCCTTCATGACGCTGATCCAGTGAACATACTATCATAATCTTAATTATGTTCTCGCTGTTTCGCTGTGAAAGTCCATTCTCTCCACCGACCACTCTCTATACCGACCACTCTCTCCACCGACCACTCTCTACCGACCTCTCTCTCCACCGACCTCTCTCTCCACCGACCACTCTCTCCACCTCTCTCTCTCTCTCCCCCGACCTCTCTCTCCACCGACCTCTCTCCACCGACCACTCTCTCCACCGACCACTCCCTCCACCGACCTCTCTCTCCACCGACCACTCTCTCCACCGACCTCTCTCCACCGACCACTCTCCTCCGACCTCTCCACCGACCTCTCCTCCACCGACCTCCTCTCCACCGACCACTCTCTCCAGAGACCACTCCTCCACCGACCCTCTCTCCACCAACCACTCTCTCCCCCGACCTCTCTCTCCCCGACCCTCTCTCCCCCCCGACCTCTCTCCCCGACTTCTCTCTCCACCTACCACTCTCTCCACCGACCTCTCTCCCCCCGACTTCTCTCTCCCCGACCACTCTCTCCACCGACCACTCTCTCCACCGACCACTCTCTCCACCGGCCTCTCTCCACCGACCACTCTCCACCGACCTCTCTCCACCGACCACTCTCTCCACCGACCACTCCCTCCACCGACCTCTCTCTCCACCGACCTCTCTCTCCACCGACCCTCTCCACCGACCACTCTCTCCACCGACCACCTCCCTCCACCGACCTCTCTCTCCACCGACCACTCTCTCCACCGACCTCTCTCCCCGACCTCTCTCTCCCCGACCTCTCTCTCTCTTTCCCCGACTTCTCTCTCCACCTACCACTCTCTCCACCGACCTCTCTCTCCCCGACTTCTCTCTCCCCGACCACTCTCCACCGACCGACCACTCTCCACCGACCACTCTCTCCACCGACCACTCTCTCCACCGACCACTCTCTCCACCGACCACTCTCTCCACCGACCACTCTCTCCACCGGCCACTCTCTCCACCGACCGCTCTCTCCACCGGCCACTCTCTCCACCGACCGCTCTCTCCACCGGCCACTCTCTCCACCGACCGCTCTCTCCACCGACCGCTCTCTCCACCGGCCGCTCTCTCCACCGTGTCATACAGTATGCAAACGTTTCAATGTGTCGGTCCAAACATTGCTGATCGAGCAAATATATATTTCAAGATTGTATGACACATCCAAACAAAGTTTACGATAACGATTTTCTTGGATAAGCCAATGAACGTTTCATTTCCTCCCAGGTTGTGTCTGGAGTAGTGGTACACTCGCTAGCTGTGTGCAGGCAGCCAGCCAAAAAATGAAAACGTGAGTGAATATTCTGACACGAATATTATATCCTAATACAGTTACAATTTCAGTTTGAAATCGAGAACAAAATCGTGTGTGTTTGTGTGCGTGCGCGCGCGCGCGTGTGTGTGCGTATGTGTGTTCATATACCAGGAGATTATACAATCACTTTTGTTTGAAAATGTTTTATCACCGAATTTACTTGACCCCAAAACACTGAGTGAGTGAATGAGTGAGTTTAGTTTTACGCCGCTCTCAGCAGTATTCCAGCTATATGGCGGCGGCCTGTAAATAATCGAGTCAGGACCATACAATCCAGGGATCAACAGCATGAACATCGATCGACGCAACTGGGATACGTTGACATGTGTCAACCCAGTCAGCGAGCCTGACCACCCGATCCCGTTAGTCGCCTCTTACGACAAACGTGCATGGGTTAGTGAATATCAGTTCTAACCCGGATCTTCACGGGTCCCCAAAAATAGAAACAAAGACGTATACATGTGAGATTTATGACAAATATTTTACAAACAAATATCATTTTACTGATATGTAATGCTGTAATGCTGGTCTTGGATTTGCCGCAATTCATTAAGATAGAGTCAGGGGGTGAAAATTATAAATGACACAACTCAGAGTTCAATAAGAAAAGTACATAAAGAGTGACATAGTGAGACAGGAGTACGGGGACACGTCATCAATAGCGGGTGCGACCACCCTCGGAATACCCTGTTCCATTAGTCCAAGAGAGTCTGTGCAAGTTGATGTGTAATTGGCTTCACGTCTGACGGATCCTGGGCGTGACGAGCGACCACTTTGACCACTAGGATACCCCATCGTCCCCATTGAATATGTATGCTGATACCAAGTATTACAATAAGGATAACTTTTAAAGACAAACATTATGAATGAACGTTTAACGTTGGTGAACATGTCAGATGACATGTGATTCTTTGCTTACGTCTTAGATAGGTGTGGTCGTGTTTGTCTACGTGGAAGTGAACGCCCATGCAATATCAGCCTGAAACCCTATGACAGATTTCACGATGGAACGGTTATATTGTGGGAAGTATTAACATGACTGAGTTAACCCCTCTCCATATTGTACAAGGAAGGGGAATTGGAAGTACTATCCAAGCTAACAATTTCACGTTGTCACAACGTTATTCTGTGGACTCCCATGTACGCTGTTACAACGCTGTGACCTGACGTCGTGATACGTCATTTTTACGTCGCCACAAGGTTAAGTTATTTGTTGCTAACGTATTACGTTGTCTTAACGTTTTATTTAACGTTAATAGTTGAATAGCTTTCCCAGTAGTGAACAGAACATGAGAAACAAAGCAGAAATTCAATTTTATGTTTATTCGTCAAATTGAATGTTGTTTTGGTCGTGTGTTTTCTGAAGCTGAATAGTAAAGAAAGAATCTCAAAGTGAAAGGTTTTACAGAAGACTCTGTTAAGGTTAAAAAACGACATTATACTAACGTTGTAACAACGTTTGTATAATGACGTTACCAATCTACAACCTTCCCAGAACGTTGCGAAAACGTTGTGTGTTAGCTGAGACAGAGACAACATACTGAGCCCCTTTGTTGTCCGTCTGCGGTCATCCAGGGTCGACGATGTCATTCCGTGCGACAAGGTCCGTGCACGAATCTGCATCGCTAACAGCCAGTTGTATAATTCAGTAGATTACCATGGGTATCAACGAGCAAAGACTGTCCCCATCCCACCACCCCCCTGCCACACTAAACGCCCTGGGACGGGATAAGGATACACGTGAGTCAACGTTATAGGCTGCTGATCACGACTGAACGTGGGTTATGTACAGTCAAGATACTGCACTTACAGATCGGCACACATAACAACAGTCGAAAATATTTAATTTTAAAATCTGTTTACCTCAGATCAGTGAACAACATAAACAGCAACAGAAACAGCCGAATAATAATAACTAATGTTTGATTCCCTGGTAGCTTGATAACTAAATATGCGTATTTTCCTTTACGCGAACACCACTATGTATTTCACACGTCTTACACGAACTGAATCTCACGAAACACTCATACAGATATAATGCTGATATAAGTAATGTACGATGACAGAAAAGATGTTAAGTTGTCAGTCTGAGAAGAGAGACTGTCACTCATGATAAATAAACACGACCGAAACTACAAAGTCATCAACTTGAAGGGAGCCAACCACACCCTGTTTTATTCCAACACATAATTATATTTTTAACTGACCTGCAAGTGGATATAAAAAGCACGGCTATTGAAAAGCTTTGGGTAGAAGGCATATCAAATATAACAAACCTGTACCCCTTGTACATAGTTCACACACAGTGAGGCAGTTAGATGTATTATGTATAATCATGTTACCTGTTGCTAAGGGTATTAATTATATATACAGCTGCTGATGTTATGTATCGAGAACGGTGTATTTCTTCTTTTTCAGGATTTGCCTTGTGTGTATTTATGTAGAGTTTGTATAATACATTTCCCGGGTTGACATCGGTATGAATTCTGTAGCTGGCATAATCATTTACCATTGTGGTTAACATTATCTGTTTTAATTTATCGACCTTTAAAAGGACGCACTGATCTGATCGCCATTGCGATTTATTCTTCTATCTCGCGATGCTGATCTTCGCACGCCCACACCTGTGATATGATACAATGCATGTATCTACACAATTCATATTTGCGCTTATCTTAATGTGTTCAAAATAGGCACATTAATATCAAAATTAAAATGAAATATAATAAAAATTCTCACTTGTCAATATGGGTGCGACGTCTTTTCATCCACCGACACAGAACATGAAATATCGGTCACAGTCGTAACGCGTAGAATGGTGAACAGCATCTAAACTATAGAAGGATGCACATGAAATTATTAATGTTCCAAATGATGAAATACGAGTACAAATGATCTTCGACTTTGATTTTACCATAGATAACAGCAGGTGTGTATCTCAAGGGTCTCAGTAGAGGAAGGATAATGCCCAACCTACATTAATACACAGCACGGACCTAAGTCGTCATGTTGGGCCATTGTTACGAGATAATTAACCCATTATGTTCAAAGATATGATGGGGCTTAGTAATTAACAGAACTCCTAATATGAATTGTTAATAAGCAATTCTATGGAATTGAGAACATCACTTCTTTTAACATTTCCGACGAATGATCTATTATTGATAAAGATCTATGTTCTATTATTATGGAAGACACATCACATACATACAAACTCACACAAAGGAATCATTGTTCAGGTTTTGCTTATTGTTCTATAAAGATGCTGAGATGCAGAAGAAAAAAAGATGTCAAGTGAATTTATTTCTATTATTATAAATATTAGAAGGAATTATTTGATAGTAAATTACAAGACTTAAACTACTGATGTTTAAGCAATATATAGTAAAATCCTCTAGGTAAACATACGAACACATAGGTGAATGTACTAATGACTCTACAAATTATGAACTAAATATATAATAGATTGGGTTCACATTGTTTCTTTCACATTATATTGGTCAGTGTGTCCACCATGTATTATACAGCGAACTACAAATGCCCATCTTCATCATTTGTGCAGTAATGCACATTTGACATGACCCCGAGGGAGGCTTGTGGGTGCTACTGGCTAACTGATTCTACCGGTCAAGTCACTACCGATGGGCTACTGTGAGTACAATGGTGGCCACTGCGGTTTGTGCCCTAGGCTTTGCTCATATTTATAATTTAAGGTCTTAACAAAATGTCGATCAAAATGTCATTTCACCTGGCGAGCACTAGCGTCAATTGCCGCATGCTGTACCTGTTTCGTCAGCAAGAATACACCCACCTCCATCATTATAAATTTGGTCGTCTGGCGACGGGCACATGCAAATTGCTATTTGCAGTATATTACGGAAAATGTAGGTGCAAAATGCGTTTGAGATTTAAAAATCAGGGATAAAAATAGGATTTGACTTGGAACATTTACCCTGAACTGTTTGCATTTGGAAGAATGAGCCTTTTACTTTGTATGAATTCATGGGAATAGAAACCTTGATGTGGTGAAAGCCAAACTGTATGGTCGTTGAAGATTGAAGTCAGTTCATACCATTATCCGAAACCAAAGTTAGTACATTTCAGAACCACTGTTCTCGTCAAATCGTGCTGTAACTATTCTAGCCTATGCTGCAAGCAAAACATCTGCATGTTCTAGTATATTTTGGACAAGTGAGCACGTCTATCGAAGGTGACAGCCTTCAGTTTCCACAGTAGTATTCGATTAAGAATGTGCTGGCTAACAAAGTATTTCGATGGCATTCTCACACAAACATTCCTGTATGCTGATGTTTTCAGACAGCTATCTGTTGGTTTTGGTTGTAACTGCTGTGCCTGGTAGCCACTGTTGCTGCTGTAAAATTGTACTATTGTCAAATGTTCGTCGTCCAGCGAGCCTTGTAAATGCTGCATCCCCCTCTCCCCCGATGTCTCGCGAGGCTTACTAGGCGTAGTCTGCCCTACAGTATGCTGACATGCAAGTTGACCCACGACATTGTTGCATTTGTCATCCCAATAATCTTACATCTACACGCAGTAGACAATCAATCTGTGCCATCATAATGCCTTGTAATGGGTAGCCGCCGGGGTTCACAAATGTGTTCCTACAATGGTTTCTCCCAATATGTGTCTCTAGACAGTGTATTGTGCTTTACGTGCTTCATGTTCAACATCCGTTCACAGTAGAAGTATTGACAATATACAATAGTATGGTGTAGGAAATGTGTTCCTACAATGGTTTCTCCCAATATGTGTCTCTAGACAGTGTATTGTGCTTTACGTGCTTCATGTACAACATCCGTTCACAGCAGAAGTATTGACAATATACAATAGTATGGTGTAGGAAATGTGTTCCTACAATGGTTTCTCCCAATATGTGTCTCTAGACAGTGTATTGTGCTTTACGTGCTTCATGTACAACATCCGTTCACAGCAGAAGTGTTGACAATATACAATAGTATGGTGTAGGAAATGGCCATAACATATCATACATGGATACCTTTCATCCATTATCAAAACATCATTCTGTGTCTTGATTTCATGATGATATCGAGGTCTATATTTTGAACAGATCTGACATTTTATTCATTGGGAATCACACAACTGACTGTAATGTTAACCGAGGTGTCTTGTGATCATGAAAATGGCGTACTATTCTACCATCCACACAATATTCACATATATTGAACACCCGTGAAGATCCGGCTTAGAATATTGTCTTCAGTAACCCATGCTTGTCGTAAGAGGCGACTAACGGGATCGGGTGGTCAGGCTCGCTGACTTGGTTGATACATGTCATCGGTTTCCAATTGCGCAGATCGATGCTCATGCTGTTGATCCCTGGATTGTATGGTCCAGACTCGATTATTTACAGACCGCCGCCATATAGCTGGAATATTGCTGAGTGCGGCGTAAAACTAAACCCATTCACTCACATATACTGAATGTGCCCAAGGCCATTGTCAAACATGAGACTGCTGTAGTGTGAGTTGGTAGGAATTCTGAACTGTTTCAAAATAGTTTCTGCATAGTTATAGTCTGTGTGTTAAAACGGGCGTCCTATCGGAATGAGTTCTTATCTGTTTCATTGTAATCGTAATGTTAGCCTAAGGCGAGGGTGTGTTCATATCCCATGATTAATTATGAAGTGATTCTCTTTACACTCGCTAAAACCTAAAATGACACCTTCTTGTTGATAGTATCAAACTGAAGTGGTTGTCCTAAAACAATCAATCGAGAATTGACATATGGTATGTGAATGTGTTCTCTTGTCATGTATTGTTTCACTAACTTGTTGGAACACATTGCTATTGCTTTGTACACTACCCTCATGGTCCTTCAAAAGCTGACCACATGGTGCTTTAAATACCGCCTATACCCAATTGTATTTAACATATATTTCATGTTAGTGAGTGAGTTTAGTTCTACGCCGCACTCAGCCATATGGCAAGTATATCGCGGCGGTCCCTAAATAATCGAGTCTTGTATTTCATGATATATCAGAAGCTAAGATTTGTGAAGGCTGGGCAGAGTCGTCTTGTAGGGATGGCAATACATACATTCTAAAGTTTTGTGATATGAATGTTGGGTTGAAGCGAACATCGAAGAGATATAATGTTTGTGTTTGGCATAGACCACTTCTGGATATTGTGGCATATATTCATTTAGCAATGCCATGCTGATAACTGACAGGTGTGCTTTCATACAAGCTAATAATGTACATGTATCTGATATATGGACTCTATTCGATATAGGATTGTCATATACTAGAGCATACACTGATGTGCATGAGAAATTTGTATTGTAAAGGACAAGGTAAATGTAGTAAATGCAATATACTTCGAATAACAACAGCAAGTGTGTGGAGTAGGCGTGGATTTCTTCAGATGAGATATTTAACAGAACAGATCGGCACTAATATATCTTATCTGTATAAATTACTTAAGATACACAGACAGCAGAAAAACAACGGTCATAGTGTCGACCTCTGTCTCACCTCTATGGCATATGATGCTGTAACTAAATTATGTAATGATTTCTTACCATCAAATTCACATGACAGATGTATCTTGTTCAAAGTCTTGTCCACTGTCACTCATGTTGGATTTGAATGTGATGGACAGTGGTCAGGTAATTGATGAATCGCCCTGTCAGGAACAATGGATTGTATTCAGCGTACTTACACCCCTGTTTGCTAAACCGCACATACCCTTGTCTTCCACACACTGACCACTCGGCCTCCGTTTACACACTCTGAGAACTACAACAGGTGGGTTTCTTCTAGTTTTGTTTTGTAGTATCCCATATAGGTTATATCATTCCACCTGGCTCCAGTAATTTTAGCAAATGCGATATGTGTTTATCATATCTGTCATCTTCTTATTTAAACAGTGTACGACCCAGTACAATGCAAACCTATTCGGAGTCATATTTTGTTTTGTAAACTTCAAAACGTTAACTGGGTTCGGTATGGGAACACCTAAAAAAGCTCTGCTTTGGTATTTCCATTAAGATACTTTATACTATCTGTTTCAGGAGACAGCAAAATGACAGCATTCAACTTTGCTGTTTTCGCTTTGGTTTTTATCACAACAAATGGTAAGAAGTTTGTAAACTTATCTATGACCTTTCCTTTATATAATCTAAGTATCTTTATATGATCTAAGTATCGTTATATAATCTAAGTATCGTTATATAATCTAAGTAACTATATATAATCTAAGTATCTTTATATGATCTAAGCATCTTTATATGATTAAAGTATCTTTATATGATCTAAGTATCTTTATATAATCTAAGTAACTATATATAATCTAAGTAACTATATATAATCTAAGTAACTATATATAATCTAAGTATCTTTATATGATCTAAGTACCTTATATAATATAAGTATCTGAAACAAATATTCAGTCGAACAAGATCAAAACACCGTCTGCTTTCCGAATAAAAATTCAGTTTACGTTGATTCTATGTTACGTCAGAATAGATCCAGCAATAGACTGCTACATAATTTCCGTGTTAAATTTATTATCAGCTTTCGTCAACGATATCGCCACTGATCTTGATCCGGTAACGGAGGATGTATTAACATCGAACGCCGAAGAAATTTTAATGCCTTCCGTCCACATAAATAAACAGTTGGGTTATCAATTCAAACAAAATGATATTTTGAAATTTGTACTGTTTCAAATTCAGCGGTAGTAAAACACAATTACTGAATCTGCAAACCGTTCTGTTTAGCCCAACATATATTTTTCTAACAGTGTAATATCGTTGAAAAAGTTATTTGGCTTAGTCATGATCCCTCTTATCCGTTACACTGCTTGATCTAAAGTAGTCTATTAAAGTACAATTAATTACCTTACCGTGTTTATGCCAGAGGTACACCCTCAATAAGTATCTTTATATAATCTGAGTATCTATTTTTAATCTAAGTATCATTATATGATCTAAGTATCTTTATATGATCTAAGTTTCTTAAATAATCTAAGTATGGATCCATTATTCATTTTGGACAGAAAGAAAAAGTACGTCTATGCATACACACCATGCAAAACACATTGTTCCAAAATGGTCGAAACAAACAACGATTAATGAGTTTGTATGCTACAGTTTATAACAAAAGATGTTCAGAAGTAAATTAATTCATATTCCTAAATATATTGCTATTTTTCTTCCAGCACAAACTCCAGACATGGGTACAGGAATGACAAATCCTACAGGCATGAGCAACACAGGCGGCATGACACAACCTACAGGTGGTGCAGGGAGTACAGGAATTGGAATGGGCGGAATGAATAATCCAATGGGTGGCATGACTAATCAGATGGGTGGCATGACTAATCAGATGGGTGGAATGACTAACCAGATGGGTGGCATGAATAATCAAATGGGAGGAATGAATAATCCAATGAGTGGCATGAATTATCCGATGTCTGGTATGGGCAACCCTATGGCTGGTATGAGTGGCCCCTTCGGTGGTATGAATAGCGGATTTGGCATGGGAAGTCAGTATGGCGGTATGGGAAGTCAGTTCGGGAACATGGGTATGGGACCAATGGGATCAGCATTAGCGAATATGGGTGGAATGATGGGAGGCATGAGTGGTCAGGGTTCTGGACAGTCTCAAAGCTCTTCTGGTAGCTCGATGATGCTTCCTCTGATGATGGGAGGTGACAAGGGAAGAAACATGTTTTTGATGTCTCAAATGATGGGAAGACAGGGCGGCAACAGCATGCTTCCTTACTTCGCTTTGAACGGTGGCCTGGGAGACAACATGATGAACATGCTCCTCTTCAGCGGTATGGGTGGAATGGGAGGCGGCCGAGGCGGTCAAGGATTTAACCCAATGATGGCCATGGCTCTCAGCGGCGGTGAGATGAACAACATGCTCCCGTGGATGTTCCTTAATCAAGGCAGAAACCAGGGACAACAAGGCGGTATGTAGGGCGGTATGCAGGATGGTATGCAGGGCGGTATGCAAGGTGGCATGCAAGGCGGTCAGCCATCAGCAATGGGCAGTGCTCTTCCTTTCTGGCTCCTTGGCGGACAATTCTAAATCGGACCTCTCCTGCCTTTACTGAACTCTTGTGACTGAATTGGATATTTGTTTGAAGCAATCCCAGATTCATCACTACAACACTACAAAATGCCAAAATGCTTCAAACCTTTATCAGTCAGTATGTAGAGTAAATATTGTTTGTACACTTTTGGTGCATAAAGCAAATTTATACATGTCAAAATATGTTTCCTGTGTACTTGGTACCTAAAGTTCTCTTGGAGACAGGACAGTATATAAATCGCACCCATGTTCTGCAATAAACCTACTTTTAAACTACATTCAAGCTTTGCTTGTTTCTTTGAACAACATACATCAGAAAAGTTTTAAGCTTATATGTTTCCATACTTTGCATCTTCAGTACTTAAAGCGAGATAGCAGTGGTGCGAATATGTCTGCTGCATGAGGCAGTGTTATGAAATTGCATCTGATCTCACCATATGTCTATTAGTATTAAGTACAATTTGTTAAAAGACATTGAAACCTTACTTGTCTTTTAATTATGTCTCCTATGGACTTTCTTGATTTTCGTGGACAGTGACAAATTACCAAATTCCAAATTCTTTCTCGTATGCATTCGGCTTGAAAGTTTACCTTGACTCCAAAACTGTCTGTCGACCGATTGAAAGCATATCCTGACAAAACACACACACTACAAATTGATTTAATGTCAGCACCGGCTCTGAAACAAACATGCTCCGATTGAATGTCTGCATCGACAACATAACGCACTCTTAACTGACTTAACGTTACTGCGCAGGTACAAAACAAAACATTACTGTGTGAACTACAAAGCAACATGAGAACGCCCCCCTGTACGCCCGTACGTGCGCATATATACGCAGTTGGCCACTGACTGAATGCTCGATCCAGCTATAAAACGCGATGATTGATCAGTATGGACATCGCTATAACGCAATACTGTCGGTTGGTACCTACAGTTCAACACTGATGATGTTGTAGTGTTTCCACAGGTCTAACGTACTGTTTGTTCTTGTTACATGTTATATGTCTCTCAGTATAATCTGTGGAGTTTGGTCATTATTATAGCTTTTAATAGTATCATACATGTGTCGTATTTATATCATGTTCGTTTCAACAGTTGACAACTGACAGAAACATTAAGAAGAATATATCTAACTGTTTCAATGTGTCATTTGTTAGAGACGAGCGGTTCTGGTGTAAGGCAAATTGGTTGGTATACATCAGCAAGTTTGTGTAGGCCTGATGCTTTTTTGTGGTACCCGAGGAGGCGACGGACCAAAGAAACCATTTGCGGGCATCCATGTACATGTACATGAAGTCCTTACAGAGCAGATGACTGGTTCCTATATGCATCGTTTTGTTATTACTGTATGGGTACAGTTGTTAAAGTGCCTATTTAAATATTTGCATGCATAAACAACCTATTTGACTAATTATCCTGTTTGGTATAATATCAACTATTTATTTAATGTCATTAATTAAAAACAAGAACCTGAATGTTTTGTAATAAATACTCAAGTATCTTTATCAAACTGACACATTTAATGACAAACCTCACACTTTGAGTCATGGGACGTTTGTTCCTAATTCTGGTGACCATAGAAATATTTTGATCTTCAAAAGTTGTAAATTATTTCCTCAAAGACAACATCAAAGTGAAATCGAGGACACGGACGTGTAAGCATTCCCATAAGTAGGTATCCCGAAGATGAACTTAAGCTTCAGGTATATATGATACCATTCAATATTGGTCAAATACTAATAAATTCCCTTGTATTGATTTATTATCATTATAGGATATTTATATAGCGCACATATCCAGGTAACTTGTGCATGCTCAAGGCGCAGGTATTTTTCCCCTCATCATTGGATGTCAATCTCAACAGCACATAGTATTATCAATCTCAACTCCCTGGGGATCATACAACTCTTGCTGCCACTGGGCGAACCGACTTACTGTGGCTTTCTCATCCTAACGAGGTACCCATTCACAGCTGGGTGGACTGGGACACAGTCACAGTACTTAGTCCAAGTTCACTGCACGTTGCTGTACCTGCAACTAGGTGTTTGCACGTATTCATGTGGCCACCATCCGGTCATATACCAACGAATTCGTGGGTTCTTTTAAGTGCACAGGTTTGTGTACTGTACACTAGGGGTTGTGACAACACTGCAAGAGTCTGCACACAAAGTTGACTCCAAGGTTTTTACACCCGGACACAGGTGGACTCGATACGCACCTCAACCTCGCTGGATCACTAGCCTGGCGTCTTAGCCAGCTCGCCCACCACGCCCCCTTACCCCCTTGAACTAGACATTAAAGAAACCAGCTAAGTCGTCTATCTATGAGATTGTAGGACAAGATTCATAGTTCCTTTAGGCGCCTTTACAAATCCATGTTGAACTGTGTACTGGCAGCTCTTAACTGGTATGTATACTCGACTATTGAGGTTTAGTCGAGTATGCTCTTTCTATAACAGGATCTTACAGCCTATACGACTTCAAGACATCCGTAAATTAAGCATTAGCGACAAATATGGTAACCTGTTTCGAATTGCACCAGGTGTTCTCGTGTCGTTGACATGAACGACCCATGACTTCTGCGCATGTGTTTGTGTCGAGTGGGACCGATGGACTAACCAAACATCATAGCTATTGGATAGAGATTCACGAAGGCCTGAACTAAGCACAACTTGAACAATGAACAATGGGACAAGCTTTGTTTGCACACATTCCATCAGTCAATAATGCGTTATGTAGTTCAATCATTCAATAATGAGGTGCAGGCATTCAGTCATTATATTGACCCTGCTTATTGCAGACATTTCTAATGATCGTAGAACATATTTTGTCGTATTTGTTTAAGAATAGCGCTAAGGGCATAGGTCATGTATGTGCTTGATATAATTCAAACAAAGAAAAATACTTGAACGTAGTGATATACATTTTATTGCAATACATACAGGATGAAATTCGAACTTTTAGGAAGGTACCGTAGGTACCAGACACACATGGAAAGAATATGTATGCACTTGCTTCATGCACAACTACTCTAAGTATTAACTGACAAGTGCATCGATGCAAGCTTGGTATCTTGAAGTGTTGGGGGTGATGAATCTGGCATGAGTCAGGCAAGGTCCACTGGATAAATGTTAGTTTAGAATTGTCCGCCAAGGAGCCAGAAAGGAAGAGCACTGCCCATTCCTGATGACTGACCGCCTTGCATGCCACCTTGCACACCGCCCTGCATTCCTCCTTGCATACCGCCCTGCATACCGCCTTGTTGTCCCTGGTTTCTGCCTTGATTAAGGAACATCCACGGGAGCATGTTGTTCATCTCACCGCCGCTGAGAGCCATGGCCATCATTGGGTTAAATCCTTGACCGCCTCGGCCTCCTCCCATTCCACCCATACCGCTGAAGAGGAGCATGTTCATCATGTTGTCTCCCAGGCCACCGTTCAAAGCGAAGTAAGGAAGCATGCTGTTGCCGCCCTGTCTTCCCATCATTTGAGACATCAAAAACATGTTTCTTCCCTTGTCACCTCCCATCATCAGAGGAAGCATCATCGAGCTACCAGAAGAGCTTTGAGACTGTCCAGAACCCTGACCACTCATGCCTCCCATCATTCCACCCATATTCGCTAATGCTGATCCCATTGGTCCCATACCCATGTTCCCGAACTGACTTCCCATACCGCCATACTGACTTCCCATGCCAAATCCGCTATTCATACCACCGAAGGGGCCACTCATACCAGCCATAGGGTTGCCCATACCAGACATCGGATAATTCATGCCACCCATTGGATTATTCATTCCTCCCATTTGATTATTCATGCCACCCATTGGGTTATTCATGCCACCCATTGGGTTTGTCATGCCACCCATTGGATTATTCATTCCGCCCATTGGATTTGTCATGCCACCCATCTGATTAGTCATGCCACCCATTGGATTATTCATTCCGCCCATTCCAACTCCTGTACTCCCTGCACCACCTGTAGGTTGTGCCATGCCGCCTGTGTTGCTCATGCCTGTAGGATTTGTCATTCCTGTACCCATGTCTGGAGTTTGTGCTGGAAGGAAAGATTTAAGAATGTATAAAATGTTGTTCAGTACAACATAAGATGCGCTTGTTGAAATCATACATCATTAAATCATCCTTTCAAACAGTACATTTATTCAAGGTAACTAGAAATTGTATTCCACATGTTGTTATAAGGGCAAGACTACGTTTATACCAACGTCATCATTGGTAATATTATAGAGGCTATTTCTTTTAGTTAGTTGTTCATGAAAGGTACTCCGTCGTTAAAATGCGATACTTTCCGAAAGTATTCAACCTGCCAGGATGAATTATATGTTCCGTTCAGTTTCATTCGTTAAATATGAAAAATGTAATACAGAATGTGCATTAACGGACTTTTCCTGCCACCATGTGATGAGTTATTAGAATTACAGTTAAGATAAGCGTTTGTTTACATATTGGTTAAATGTATATTGAAAATAACCTTCTTTCAGTTGATATTTTGTGAAACGAATGCCTCTATTTAAATGCGATACTGTATCGAACAGACTATGGATGTATCAAGAAAAGGTCAATAATTAAATATATAAAAGCTTACCATAGGTTGCGACGCAAACCATAGCGAAAACAGCAAACTTAAATGCTGTCATTTTGTTGTCTTCTGAAACAGATGCCATTAGGTATTGTAATGCTGTAAATGCTATAAGGAACGTCTTTAGTGGGTATCCCCACTATTCAAACAGAATCGTCATTAAGTATTAATAAATCGTCGTAATTTAAATAAATAACAATTCGTACGATACAAGACGAAATTCACCAGGCGAAAGGAGCCCGATGGAAATACAGAATGCATATATGATACTACTCGAGCAAACG